TGTTGTTGTTGTTGTTGTTGTTGTTGTTGTTGTTGTTGTTGTTGTTGTTGTTGTTGTTGTTGTTGTTGTTGTTGTTGAATAGTAGCAGCCTGTTGGAGTTGGTTCAAATGATGAGCCGCCAGGGCCTGATAATGGTGTTGCTGCGGAGGTAGTTGGTTTGGGAACATTGCTGGCGGCGCTGCTGTTCGAAGGTAAGCGTCATAAGCTGTCTGAGAGATCGCACCAGGCATTACAGAGATATATTTATTTAGAGTTGGATTGGATGTGTGGTTGGTTGGTGAGATAGATAAACTCTATACTCTCTCCAGTATGGTGAAGAGAGTAGTATAAAGCCCAGCTAATTTGAATAGTAACAATTATGATAGTTGTTATACGTTAAATAAAATATATAAAGGGTTATTTGAGAAAAGGAAAAAAATTATTTAATTATTTAATTAATTATTTAATTAAAATAAAATAAAATAAAAGGGAAGCACACTACGTAAAGAGACGAGAAGGAAAGGGTTAACTCTTTTCTTCGTTGAAAGGAGGAACCGAAAGGAGAAAAAAAAGAAGAGCTATTGCCCTTTCTTCGTATCGCACGTATTATAATATATATCAAATGAAAACACTCATATACAACGACGGGAGAGAAAGCGCGAAGCGACGAAAAGAAAGAGGAATAAGAAGGTCTGTGCAGGGCAGAACCGACTATTAAGTAGTTGCGTAGTAGTTATTCACTACAAACTACCACTACAAGGGCAAGTAATGGTATTTTTTTCGTATAAGGTGACGAGGTCTGTGGTCTCAACAAAACCAGGTTGATTTACCTGTGGTTTTTTATTTTTTTTTTTGATACTACTCTTACTACTAGGCTTAGTAACATTCACACATTTGATTGGTCGGCGTCAGTTTGGTTGTCTGAGCGTAATAATGATAATAATTAAAATAATTAAGTCTTTTATTTTATTTTATTTATGTATTTTAGATAAGTACGGTGTATGTGTTCCGTTTTTTTTGGCTTATAGTGATGTTGTGTAACCAGGACCAACATAACATGGGCTAGAGAATGATTTTATGGATTATATTATTTTCTATAATTATCGTTATATTTATTATAACATTTATCTATTTGACTCGGAGCAAATGATAACTGGTATATTCGTATGTGCAGTCTATCAAAAAATACTTTTTCAAATTCCAAACTGATTGATTTATCCTATGTAATTTTTATTGTGTGATTGTGTCAGGATGACTATGTAATCACAACCACATACACGAAAATGTAAATCACGGAACTTATGATTCAAGCCGGTCAGCCAGATAACCATAACTAAAATCACGAATCTCAACATGATGACGAGTTGAATGTTCGATATATCATCGTCCTTATATACTTACTACAATCCGACCACAAGCACATTGAAAAAAATGTAGTATAGACACGTGTGATTTGAAATATGCGTGAGAAACTGACAACTCTACACACCCAAAAAAAGCTTATTTATATTTTTGGTTACCCATTTTAGAGGCGTTTGATTCCCAAGTATATGTCATGCATAAAACATTTTTTTAAGTACCACCTGAAAATTGAAATGATGCCCAGAATCATTAATAGAGAATATTTTATTTTATTAGTTTTTATAATATTTATTTACTTTATTCTATATACCCGTTTTGAATCACACACTTCAAGAAAGAAATCGAGATTTTCTGTTAAAAATATATATATATATTATATATATTATATAAATTGAATAACAATTTCTTAATACGCGTATTTTAATTGACTCTGGGTGAAACGAGGTGGTGTCCAATGCAACAATGCTTCATCAATACTAACAAGATTTTTCTTCTTTGCTCTTTTATGCGCCGCCAAAACACTATCAGACAAAAAGATAATTTGTTGAGCGCGATAAGGTTTGAGTGCTCCAAGACTCTGTAACGTCTGTAAAATATCTTTCGGGTCAATTTTGGTTGTTTCTGAAATATCGTGAATCGAAATTTCCTCTTTGTTTGAATGCATCTCCAGCAACAGATCAATTATCGTCTCACTCCAATACGATCGATACGACAATAGTCCAAGATCAGAGAGTGGTTTCTCGGGTGTCCCGATTTTCCCTTCCACCTTTGATAACTCATATGAGAAAGAAATTAATAGCCTACCGTAGCCTTGTCTTTGATATTGTGGTAATGTCAAGATGCAGGCGAGGTTGTGACCTTCCTGACTATCTTTCTCTTTGGAAAAATGTCCCACTATGTGACATCCTTTTTTGTCACGAACGCACAAGATGTAAAAGAGAAACGGATCCACGTCGTAATAAAGAGTTTTGTGATCGAGAAATAATTTTGAGAGTAGGCAGAGATTTCGACAATATGTTTTTTGATGGTGACCGTCGACTTCAAAAAATGATATATTTGGATCATAGTCACGATAAATCTCGTTTCCAGGTGGATGTAACAATTTACATTTTTTCAAGTGTCGACGTAATTGTCGTTCTTTTGCAAAATAAGAAAGGCAATATTCACATATATAGATCATTGGCTCATCGCAAAACTCTTCTGGATATGGTGAGAAATACCACGGAGAAACAATGTATCGCCCGATCTGGATCTTTTCAATATTTTTTACTTTGACAATATTTGATTGTGAATTTGTCATCGCGCCGTGATGTCGAAGCTTCTCCAGTTCTTGCTCTCGAGTCAAATGAGGAGCAGGCGATGGTGACGGTGTGACACTTCCAATACTTAATGGCGATCCCAAATATGGTGACGCCATTGTACATGGAGGTGGGGTGGCACCATTGGATACCGATGGAGTGGCATTCGGTGGTTCAATCTGCCTTGAGCAATCAATTCTATCTATAGTCACCCATTCGTCCAATCTTTTATTGTATTCCAAATAATGAACATAATATTCACATTGGAAATCATCGTTATTGTTTTCATCATTGCTAACAATATTATTTCGGGAAGATCTATTAGCCTCGCGAATTGTTAAAACCTGTGCTTTACGATATTCCCGTTCCCCTTGTCCGTCCTTTTTAATATCAACATACAACTGACAACCAACGTAAATATTATTTGAAGTGATGAAAGTTGAAGTTGGTGTCGGCAAGGTATAAGGAGGAGTCGCTGGCGAATAAAGTTCGCTCATTTTTAGGAAGAGCTGTGTATAACAATATATTTGATATATAACGATAACGCGTCAAAATTCATTAAGGGTATATAGAAACATAAATAAAACGATACTTTTCATTTCTTTCGTAATTTCGCAATGCACTCACGAAAGATCTTAAAAAATATAAGGTGAAAGGAATTTACCTTTCAATTGACCACAATAACAAAGGGGTTTTTCGCTGAGCAAGAAAATTGGGCGATCGTTTTATTTATCTTTTGTCATGATCTTTGATCCCATTCATCAGTCGAAGTGAAATCATGTGACTTGATATGTGCTATAGGCTATGGTATACGTAATCGCGAAAAAAGATAAAATTTGTTCGTGCAATTTCCTTCCCTAAATACAATGTCAAGCTCCTACGACCGCGGTAAGTATTATGCTTTGCTGTGTAATAAATAACTACAATGACATGTTTTTTATATGAGTTATATTGCATATTTTAGCTTTAACCGTTTTTTCTCCCGACGGTCATTTATTCCAGGTGGAATATGCATTGGAAGCTGTAAGGAAAGGAACGTGTGCTGTAAGTTGATAGATATCTATAAAATAATTGCTACCAAAAGCATTGAAAACGCTTCATTGAAGTTCATTCTCAAATTCATAGATGTCTTGCATTGAATTCGAGAAATATTTGCTTATTTTAGACACAATAAGAAAACCAAATTTTAATTTTTTGACAATTAAATTAATAGGTTGGCGTTCGCGGAAAAGACTGTGTTGTTCTGGGTGTTGAAAAGAAATCTGTCTTAAAATTGCAAGATCCTCGTACCGTTCGAAAAATAGTAATGTTAGATGATCATATTTGCATGGCGTTCGCCGGTTTGCATCCATCTACTCTCCGACAAACAATCATAAAACATAATTGTTAATTCAGTAAAGGTTTTTTTTAAAAAAGGGTTAAGTGCAGATGCGCGTGTATTAGTCAATAAAGCACGAGTAGAGTGTCAAAGTTATCGGCTTTCTGTCGAGGATCCAGTCACTGTGGAATACATTACGCGTTATATTGCTGGTGTTCAACAGGTATTTGTCTTTTTTATCGAATTTTTGCTATATAGATCATTGTTAATTTCGATATTTTTTATATTTGTATGTTAGAAATATACACAAAGTGGTGGTGTTCGTCCTTTTGGTATTTCTACACTTATAATTGGGTTTGATCCTCACGATAAAGCACCCAAACTTTATCAAACTGATCCGTCTGGTATATATTCAGCTTGGAAGGTAAATTATATTAAACATTATTAACGAATTTGGGTGGATTTGTAATTTGTATAATCAATTAACTAAATTTTTGAATTTTTTATTCAGGCAAATGCCATAGGACGAAGCTCGAAAACTGTACGCGAATTTTTAGAGAAAAATCACAAGGACGAATTAACAGAAGAAGAGTCTATTAAGTTGACAGTCAAGTCTCTGCTTGAGGTAATAACATTTCTCAAATATCGAATGAAGGCTTTTTTATGGAATCTTATTATTGTTATTATTGTGCAGGTTGTACAAACTGGCGCTAAAAATATCGAAATAACCATTATGAGTGTCACCGAGGTATGATCTGTTTTTTTCCTGTTAAACCATGTAAAAGATAGCTTTTTATGTGAGTGGATGGAATGAATGACACAGCTAAAATATATTTTTTTCTCGGTCTTTAGGATCCAGAGAAGAAAACCATTAAGACCCAAGTAAAGAATCTGGAAGTTGATCAAGTAGACAGTTATGTCAAAGAAATTGAAGAAGAAAAAAAAGAAGCAGACAAGAAAAAGAAGCCGGGAACGGGGGCTTCGATTCAATAATTATATTCGTCTCGATACTTTCATCATCAAAAGAAACACATGTTTTGGTATCTATGTCATCTTCATAAAATCTATTATTTTGGTTGCCAAATCCCTAGGTCGCAAACAATGTCGTTTACAGTTTTGCACCACCATTTAAAATCAGAATTTCTACATTTCTATCGCTGGAAATAAGTCTTAGAATATGAACGGATAATATTTATTTGATAATTTTTTTTTGTAAAGTGTGTGTATATAAATATAATAGGCAAACCAGCCATTAATGATTTATTATGAATTTCTGATTTTGCGATGTGGTAGTAATGTTAGAATTACTTAATCATGTGATCATAGGTAAGAAAAAATGCTTTTTTGACAAAAATGGTGACAATCAAAAGAATGTCACAGCGTCAAATTTAATAAAATATATAAAATCGAAAGATCAATTGTAAAATTATAGAAAATATGGCTTAACAATCAATCTTTAAATATTTTATAAGTAAATTTGATTAATTTTAATTGCAAAATAATTGTGAAAATTTTTTTATTAATAATTTTAATAAAATAAAAAATGAATTTATACAATTATTCTATAATTATTATTGAAAAGTGAAATTGGATATAAAGAAATATAATTATAAAAAATATATCTAATTATAATTATTTAATAACAAGAAAAGTTAATTGTGTAATTATAAAAAAATACAATTAAATAATAACTATTTTACTTAATACTAATTAAATTTAATTTAAAAAAACTATTTTAGAAATCAAAACTATAATTTAAACTAATTTTGTTCAATTTAACTTATAAAATATTCAAATTATAATTTTAAATAATTTCAAATATATAAAATAAAATTAAAAGTTTATTAAATAAAATATTTCAAATAATTTTATTTAAAATACTAGATTTAATTATATATAATAATTTTTAAAATTATGATACTAGCTTTAATTATATATAATAATTTTTAAAATTATGGAATTATATATACAATTTTATTAATAAAACATAATATTTTTTGTCTTATATAAAATTTTTAATTTTATTAATATTAGATTTAATCTAACAAATTTGTTTTAATTGCAAAGTTATTATAAAAATCTTTTATAATTTTTATTGTAAAAATTTAATACAAAATATAAATACACATTCCTATATTATATTATTAGAATGAATTTAGATCCAATAATATTATAATAAAATAAATAATGTGACATTAAAAAGAATTAATTGGTATTTTGATAAATTATATGTAAATTAGATAAATTAAATAATTAAAAATAAAATTATAAATAGAAAAATATAAAAAAAATATAAATGATTATCAAAATTATGTTACATAATATTTTATATGTGATTCAAAATATTAAATAGTGATAATTATAATAAATTGTATTTCTTTTCAAGAATATTTTTGAGCATTGTTTGAGTGATTGTTTGTGTTAGTTTATTATAGTGTTGAATATGAGAAAAAGTATAATTTTTTTGGTATGTCTTACAGATTCTGATGAATTAAATTACAATTTTAAGCTTTTTATTATTAATATTTGTGAATTTTGATGATTAAATATCTTGATGAATAGTTTTTTTGAAATATTGATGTTGTCACGAGTCCTGGATTTAGGTAAGTAATCTTGTAATGTGAGTATTCAATCAATATTTATTTCAGTAAATTTATTATTTGATTCAGTTACTTTAGAATTGTGATGCTGTGCGACTTCTTCTATTCTATTAATTTAGAATAGGTAACACTACTAATAAATATCTTTCTTTATATTTAATTAGTGTGATAACGGTTCTATAGTAATACAGTACTAATATTCTATAGCAATCTGGTCGAGTGTTCAGTAGTATATAAAGTAAATGTTATAACAAAATTAATAATTATAAAATTAATTAATATACAATTTCATTAAATAATAAACAAGAAGCAGTTTATTGACTAGCTAGATTTTGTATTGATCAATTAATACCTTTTGGTTTATCCAAAAGGTTCTTTATTATATAAAATTTTATGACTAAGTTATTACAATATGAGATAGTGTTCCTATGAACTGAACTGAACCGGACTTTTGCCCAGGTTCGAGTTCGGTTCG